ATATGCATTATTTACCTAATCCAACAACATCACCACTATACAGGTAATTAGTCAAGGGCTGCTTGGGAGAACTCAGAAGGTTCCAGCACATGTTCCTAAATAAAAAACAATTACACCATGATTAGTATGATAAATACACAATTCTGTAAAAAATGTATAATTGAAATACACAAATCTACACATTTATTCAAAATTAAGCCTAGAGTGATAAAACACAGCTACTTTACCCTTACGAAAATATTCTATAGAATATTCTATTGAAATATTCTATGGAATATCCTATAGAATATTCTAAAAGATTTTGGCACTAATTCTATAGAATATTCTATAGGATATTCTATGGAACATTCAATAGAAGATTCTATAGAAGATGCTATAGAAGATGCTATAGAAGATGCTATAGAAGATTCTATAGAAGATCCTATAGAAGATTCTATAGAAGATCCTATAGAAGATTCTATAGAAGATGCTATAGAAGATGCTATAGAATGCTATAGGATATGCTACATACAGTAGCATATTCTACAGAACATGAAATTGCAATATTACACAATTAAGATGTGCTATTCACTCTTCTGTGCAATATTACCAATATATTATGTCTAGCCATGAGAAAACATCAATGATGAAAATCACTTCAAGAATAAAAAGATATATATTAGAAATATTGGCATATATGTATCAGTACATCAAAAGTTGTGCAACATTGAATACTTTTGTTTGTAATGTATTTTGGTAATATTAATTATTGTCTATTATTCTATATGTTGGATATTTTTAAAGTGTTTGTCTGACCAGTAGCTCAGTTCATTATTTTTCGCAGGACTTTTTTTTAGCATTTCTTAGCATTACTTGTCACACTTCAGATGCAGGACAACCATATCTTTTTGAAGTATACTCTACATTAAGGAATATGATTGAAAAATTATTTAAAAATGCAGGACTTGTCTTACCATGCTGTGAGTGATGAAATAGTATACAATATATATTTAGCTAACTGAAATAAGTTATCAGCTTACCACATATGCCATTGACTTTTTTCTTGTCAAGTTGTGGCTTGGCATCCTTCTCCTTTAATGCATTGGAGATCTTTCCTGTCATGGAGTGTGTGGACAGAACCTCCCGGCTCCACAATATACCCATAATATTGAGTACACAAAATCCTTTAAAATTAATTGCCTTTTCCTTTTAAAACCTTCTGTTGAGTCTTTGTTATTGAGACACTGGGACATAAGGGCACCTACAAATACAATTATACCATTTTGACCTTTGGTTTATAGTATGATGTTTGGACATAAGCAAATCTGCAAATTTAATAGTAAATGCAAAATTAAACACTTGAGACATTATATTCACTCTTAGAATGATATATTAAAAATTAAGTATTCTATATACAATATAAAGGGTATAGAGCATATTTGTTAATTGCCTGCACAAACATATAGGCTATAGCATATAACTACAAACACACTCACCACTTAATTCCAATACTTTAGCTTCACATGTTATTGTTGAAATTGTGGATGGGTCAATGGAACCTTTCAGAAATTTTCTGATGGCCTTGACACAATTTCTTTCTCACGATCCTAGTCCATAGTCATGTACCATTCACAAAATTATCCGAATCTTCTAATTCTTCTCACATAATCCAGCGCGTTTCACCAACCTTCTATACTCCTCATCGACAAATTCAAGTACTGCGTATTTTATGTTCAAATACGAAAGAAAAACTCGCTAAATTCTACCAGTATCAGTTATATAAAACGTTGAACGAATGACAAAGACGCGCTCACAATTTGAAAATAATGCGTTATGCGTGTCAGTTACACAAGTCCCACATAACTTTGCGGCCTTGTTTGGGCAAAACGCCCGCCATCTAACCTGCGAACAGGCATATTATGAAACAGATATGTCTAAAATACTTGTGATTTGTCCTTACAAAACGAATGATTTTTGCGGAAAATTTTAACATTAAGATTTAAAAAGTATGTCGAGAGGACCTCACACAAAATACGAATATGATGCTATTCAACTTTTGTGTTTCTAGACAGATGAAAACACATTTCTCGACCAATATCAATCGTGTACTAAAATTGCTATATTTTAAATTGCCTTAATTATTACATAAAGTCACATTCTGTATAACATTTTATAGATTATTGTGTACAGCATGTTCTATAGAATATATCATTCGATATTTAATGTGAATTTATGTACAATAGAATATTCTATAGGATCTGTAAATTCTATAGAATATGGCAATGGAATATGCTATAGGATAAGAAGTCCTATAGAATATTCTATAGGATCTGTAAATTCTATAGAATATGGCAATGGAATATTCTATAGGATAAGAAGTCCTATAGAATATTCTATAGGATTTAGAATATGCTATAGCATATTCTATAGGATTCTATAGAACATTTTCGTAAGGGTAGAGGGGTGGAATACAAGTCAATCTAATTGTGCACAATGATTTTAAAAAATATATACCTTTGATGGGAAAATGCAAGTGATTTGGGGACATTTTAAAAGTTCTTGGTAATAGAACTTTTCAGGAAACTGTGTTTAGCCTCAAATCTCATGGTCCAGATATTTCTAGGTGGCCCAAACCTACAACGCAAACATTTAATTATAATCATCAATAATTTAATAGGATGATGTTCTCTAAACTCAAAAATAATTTGGAAGTAACTTTTACATCAATAATTTTTTACCTAACAATTTCATCAGGTATATGTATAAGATAATGCATTTTTGGAATTATGGATGCATTAGGGTAGAGATTTTTGAACATTTTGTGATGATCATTAATCATAACTTTCAAATAGGCAGCATCAGCCTTTGTTATTCCTGGAGAAGTACAAATTTGAACAATATTCTAAAGTTTCAGCAAACAATGCCAGTTTTCCAGTTGCTCATCCACTTTATCACCAATCATGATTGGCAAGAACCTGAATAAACACCACATTTGAGATGCTGCAACAAAAAGACTCAGGTTAAAATAGCATTACATAGTCTACATTTGGTAGTTCAAGACAATTAGGCTGCATAAGCAAGACATATAAATTAGTTAATACTTTCCCAATGACTGCAGTGAAAGAAAGGGTTTAAAAGTATATGTACCTGATTGTTTAAGCTTAGCTTCAGTGACACCATTGATTGTTTCCCTGTTAGTTGCAGTTGGCTTATTCTTTTTGTTCATGTATCCATAATCAAAGTTTTCAATCCTCCGATTTAACTCTTTGAGTGTGATACATCTGCTTTCATCAATCAGATACTTCAGCATCAACTTTGTTTCATAGGGTACCAAGCCATCCAAAAATATATGCATTATATCTTCAGGAATGCAAATGCAAACATCAAAATGTTGCACCTTATCCAACACACTTAATCTGTTTACCCCATAGGTTGTGGAAAGTTGTTCACGGATGTTTAATGCATTATCTTCATCTTCAATACATGCACATATTTGTCTGTGATTATCCAAATCTCTTTCTGAAAAGTCTTCAGATAAAAACTAAAACAGAAAGGTAATCCAAATGCACATTGTGTAAATTGTAAAAATGCCCTTATTGCTCAGCAAAATATCTCCCAAATTACAGTAAGGGAAAAAAGCTATTTCTTCAAATTATATAGCATATTTACCTTATTGTTGGTCTCCAGTCTTGTTCCCATACAATGCCTACAAATTCGCAATGCTCCTCCAACACCTTCCTTGAAACCACTGACATAGTTGCTACCAAGTGTATCTCCAGTCCACAATAACAGATCACCTCGAAACACACGGGCAACACCATTTATGGTAAAACAGTGACCATTAGCCTAAAATAGGAAGCTATAATGTTGGACAAATTTGCATACTAGAGGAATTTTGTTTTTTTTTTCTTATATACATACAATACTGTAATGCATAAAGTAAAAATACCTTCGCCAAACAATTGACATCCTCAATGAATGGCATCAAAAGATTATCGATCCCAAATGACTTGATGTCTTTTGTTTTAGCAATAGCTATAAGTTGTATACTGCGGATGCTTGATCTAAACATTGGCCTTATATTGCCCAGCACAAAGTAAAAGACACCTAAAAACAAATTTTATATGTGATTGGGCAGCTAACATGCTTATGAAATAAGCTGTTCATAGATTCATAGACATAATATAAAGACACACACACCAATTTTATGAATCTTTGCTTTTGAACCTAAAGGATTGGCTATTTCTAGATCATCATAATAGCCCAACAGCTGCAGGGCATCACTGTGGAGGGAGAATACTGGATGACTCTTGAAAAAATCCCCATCCATTACATCTCGAAGAACACCATCACATGAAAAATGTGGATTTTCAACTTCCTTTAAAACATCTGGGTTTGAAGAAGTGCCTAAAATATATGATCAAAAAATGTTTGAAAAAAATATTTGCAACAAATGGATGCATCCAGTGATTTGAATCTTGAAAAGCCAAAGTAATGGCATTTAGCACCAGAATAGTGACATCAATTATTTGCTAGTCTTTCATATAAAATATATTTGTACCTCCAAAGTCTTTAATAATGGAACTTGATAACCAAAACTGTGACACGTTAAGTATTTTTCTCCCTTGTCGAAAATCACTTCTCCACTGTTTTTCCCATTCAACTTCTATTGGTTCCTGCAAATCAGTTAAAAAAATATAAAGCAAGCTGACAAAGCTGGCAGCTGGTTCAGGTTTGGTAGGTTGGTAATTTACCACCAAATTGAAATGACGCTTAAAATATGATCTTTGTTGGTATTCTGAATCAACTCCGTCGAAGACACTCTCTGCTGAAAATAACTTTTCCACATCTTGGTCAAATTGCAATTCTTGACCAGGATTACTGTTTATCTTTTCGACAAGCGATTTTTGACTATGTCCAAATACTCAGTTAGTAGATTTTTCGCTGAATCTTTGACCAAGTCCACGGCACTCTGGGTGAGCATACCTCTTGTTTTGGAACATAAAAGGAATTTGGCAGCATGGCGTTGCATTAGACTTCGTGCTTCTCCCTCGTCAAACATCTCCTGAAAATGGTTCTCATTTTCCCCATCATTTAAGTCTTCTTCCACTGTTAAAGCCTTATGCTGTCTGTAATAATGTTTTTGGAGACTGTTTATCTTTGTAAACGACCGTGGACAGCTGTTACAAAATATCTTGAAATTCGGCTCGTTTGAGTGTATTAACCAAGTGATCAAAAAAAAGCTTACTTTGTCCGCTGCAACATACAAAATTACAGTAATCGCAGCGAAATTCAGTTGATCGGCCATTTGTATATACTAAAAACACATTATTTCGCCTTGTGCCTTACTGACTTTTAATACTTAGTTTATTTCCCAGTATGTTTTCAATCGATATTAGCCGAAAAATTGGAGCATTTGCAAAAGGCCTGGGAGCCATTCTATTCTCTCACGGTAATGTCACTGGGAATACCATATATGGTATTTAAAGTAACACGTGACCGTAAGTCTGCCAATAGGAATTCCCTATGGTGTGATGCGGGAAATTTAGACCTGCTTGTAAAAATTTGACTGATATCTTGCCCGTTCGACGTTCCAAGAAGATTACTCACAACATTTACTCCGTTTTTTAAATATAATTTCATCACAAGTATGGCTGTGTGTTTAGTAGCAATGTTCACTGAAGACCTTATTGCTCACTTGTTATCAAAAGGCATCTCAAGAGAAATTTGCGATCAACTGAAAGGTATGCCTCATGTGGTTGAACCATTGCCAAAATGCTAAAGCGTTTAAGTTTTTATGTGTGCGTTAAGCTTTCTTTTTATTATACAGTTTAATGAATACGATCTACTAACAGTTTATGATTATAATGTTTCAGAAAATGCTATTGATGGGGGTACATTGAACTTTTTGATGCAAGACATCGACGAATTCAAAGCGGTCTTACCTAAATCTGGCCATCGAATTCAACTAAAACAAAAATTGGCCTTTACTTTATCTGCGACAACAGAAAACGTAAGTTTACTTTGTTTAAACAGGATATAAATATAAACTTTGATTTAACAAGAATATTAATTTGTCGTTAATTCCTTTAGTTTGCCTAACAGGCTTTTATATAACAGTACTAATTGAAAATTATAAGCCGAGAGAAGGCACTGTCACATTGGGCAATTGAAATAATCAATTGTATTCCCATCACTAATAATGACTACTTCTCAATATTTTACATGAAAGTATTTACTATTTGTCAATAATAGGAAAAAATGCCTCAGCAAATTGTGATGCCACATGATGATGAACCACACACATCAGAGCTAGAACCACCAATGCCAACTGAACCACCTTTGCCAGTGGAACCACCTTTGCCAGTGAAACCACCTTTGCCAACCATGGCATGTGAAAGCAGTGTTGAAAGTGTGAAAGCAGGTGTTCAAATGAAGAAACCACTCAAGAGTCCCAAACCTATTACTAATAGTTCAGATGCCACAGCCCTACCAAACACTCTCCCATTTCCTGAGAGTTTCTCTGTGCGAGTGCAGATGGCAATAAAAAATGGCTCTGTTGCCCCTGAGCGAACACAGCTGATTGCAGATGTAGGGACCTTTTATTATGGTTTGTCCAGCCACCCAAAGCAAGGTGACTACAAGAGGATTGCCATTTTAGTGTGCGAGAAATTCCCTGAGTTGAGAGATTCCAATCAAGCAAGCTATTGGGTAAGTGTCACAAGAGGGAATATTCTGTATATGTACTTAAAATATACTTGTCATGGCAATGATCCTAATCCCAAATAATATTTTGTCTACATATATAGGTATCAATCCAGAAACAATTGTCGCAATTCTTCAGAAACCTTCGGCGGCGGACAGTTAACAAAGCGATGCATGGACAACCCCATGGTTATGCAAATGAAAGTGCCTCAAAGAAAATAAAACTGACTGCAGAGGATGATGAGCAAGCTCAAAAAAGAAATATGGAGCTTTTGAAAAAAGCAAAACCTGGTGCAATGGCTCCTAAAGACATTTGCAAAACTCTTTGTCGACACATTTAATGAGCGGAGGAAATTATCGAAAATCAAGCTACATCTTCTACAGAGGTCTTGGAGGAATGTCCATATCTTGGTCATCCAAATGTTGTAAGTATCTTCACATGATGTCTTGTGCAGTCATATACACATGTAGTTTTTAGGGTATAATATTAAAACAATGGGTAACCCTATTGAAGCAATGGCAACTTGTTTCAAACACCTGCAAAATGTCTTTGATTATCTTAATTAGGTAAGAAAAGAAGTTAGCAGAATCATTGGGCAGAAAAATTGGGAAAAAGAGGCTGAAAAGAAGTTGGAGACTGCATTGAAAGCTGTCATACAAATTAAGGATAAGGAATGTGAAATGAGAAGTGAACAGGTTGTGGAGGCTGTGGAGCAAATTGAGAGAAAGACAAAAAGGAACAAAGGAACAACAACAAGTGTTCTAAAATTCAAAGGTATGTATTTGTCAATTGCACCTTGCACACTCTAGTAGATAGCTCAGTGGCAAATCAATGATCTTAATCTTTAGGTTTACCTCAATGCTGGAATTGTAATTAACTGTTTTAATTTTTTTTACAGCCTGCATCCACCATGAGACCAGAAACCTTGTTCAAAGACAAGAATGTCGAGTTTCGCTTGGTTGTGATTGGGTCTCCTGAGGAGGTCAACCAAGTTTTTGTGGCAGGTGAAGACCAGTCATTTATTGAGAGTGAAGGTATACTCCAAGGTTTGATCGACCTGCTTTGTTGTTACTATGCATATCACGTCTCCTACCCTGAAAGTATGGAAGGATGCTTGCTTTTCCTACAAGACATTCTTTTGCCAACAAATGATGGCAACTACAGAGGAACAAAATTTTCCTCATTTATGGCAAAGGTGCACCAAGGAATTAAGGACAATTCTGATTAGAACAATTTATACATGCCTGGACATTCATGCTTATATTATGCATGCCATATATTTAAGGCAAATTATTATTAAGGCAAATTTTCCATATGACTTTTAAATATTTGTTGTGAATATATGTAAGTGTTTTCTTGTATGATAATGTTTTCTATTTTTAATACATATTTCACTGTTTATGGACAAACTGTTCTGACTATTCATTCTATTTAGATAATTGCCCTAGGCAATTTGATCTTGTGTGTTGGGTAGCACACCTTAGTGTGTTCCAAAACACACCTTGCACCACCTAGCAGTATGTGTCTTGGAACACACCAAAGTTGTGTAGGAAAACACACCAAAGTTGTGTAGGAAAACACACAACAGTGTGTTTCAAAACACACCTTAGTGTGTACTAAAGCACACCTTTTGCAAAACACACCTTATAGGTGTCAAATTCTGGACAAGCAAGAAACACACCTTAAGGTGTGTTTTGGGACACACCTGCGTGTGTAAGAAAACACACCTTAACCTGTGTTATATTCTGGACAAAAAAGGTGTGTTATTTGAACACACCTTTTTTTAGAGTGTGAATACGTACAATCCAGAAAGTCAGTTTATACAAGACCTTCGAGAGAAAGGTGAGTGTACTGTCTGACGCTTTTGAAATACTATCTTTATTTGTGTTTAGAATCTTAACAATCACGACTGCCGTAGAACATTCTAAATCTACTGAATTAATTGAAACGTATAGATTGTGATGTAACCCAACCACTGTCAGTTGTTAGACCATATATAGAATGCATATCTCTTGCTGTTCTGATCCACCTAAAATAGCGTGATATAACTATGACGCCTGTCTATGGAGTTATATTTCATTCAAACCCGTTCACAATTTGTAAGTTACGACCTTTTCCAAAACAGTAAATTGATTGCGGCTGGAAAACCTATCAACATTTCTCATCAACACATAACAAACCCTAAATTCACTTCATAAAATTCTGAATGATTTTGTCAGGATTTAAATTTTAAACGTTTTCCTTTTTTTTCAGAAGTCCCTGGTATGAAGGGAGTAGTATCGTCATCTAAAGGATTACACACCAAACTACGTCAAGCTGCTCAACGGAAAAATGGAGTAACAAAAGAACGCAAACAGTTGATTAAAATGGGAAATAAGCTGAGAGCTGAATTGTTGAAATATAAAGGTATTTGAAGGGATATTTTGGAATATCTATTAAGATGGCATTAATATATATACGTTAGTCGAAATAAATTACTGTAAGAATGAATTGAATACATTTTTCCTATAATCATGATGCGTAGCTTCTGTTGTTCGCAAAAACTAACTGCATGTGCAAAGAGATCCCGCGATGATTACGTCACTACCGCATGTAGGGTAGTGACACGTGACCGGGCTCCAGAACACCGCGGAATAAGGTCTGGGCAAACGCCGGTCGGTTATAAGCATATGGCGAAAAACTTCAATTGGAACTGTTGAAAGAAAACATGCAAGTTAATTGATAAGATATAAGTTAAACTTGTACTTGAAAATGTACCGAAAACGGGTGGACTAAACATTCGTTTAATGCGTCCTTTGATTGAAATATGAAATAAAATTGTTTGCAGAGCGTCTTTAAACCATTTTTGATAAATTGTTAAGAACAAAAGTTTAAACCTATATAATAGAAGTTGAGAAAAACTACAATTATTGAGAACACGAAAATTTCTTGTTTCTCCGCAGCGTGGCGGCTTTGGTATAATGAGAGATGCTGAAATAAGTAATCTCGTGGTAAAATCGATTAGTGTACCGCTGCCACCGTTTTGATTTTAGAATGTTATTCTATCGTTATATATTAGGAGGGAAAAAATCGCCTTCAATTGAGGCACGTCAATCGTCCAAAGATCCGCAGAATGTGGCGCAAACATCCCGATCCCAACTACGGGGTTTGGAACAGTTGCAATATGAACTAACAAGCAAAGAACTGCATGCAGTATGCACAGAGAACACTAGCGAGGAATAATGATCAGCATTCGCTATCTCCTCGCAAAAAAAATTCCGCGTCGGCCCAAAACTTCAAAAACACTCTTCAAACACGGAACTCGCAGAAAAAGCAGGCCTACCGGAATCGTCTACTGTTCGTGACGAAATCGTCTCGCCATGGCAACCTTCGTTCTCATCAGACGACCGCGCGTCGTTACAAGATGTCTGGAAACTACTAGACGAGGACAGTTCTGGATTAACCCATCGCGGGGACGAAGTCAGCATGTCTCAGCTTCGGGAAAGTTTCTCAACTACGGACAGTTTCACGGTCAAAGGTCAGCCTAGTCACGTGCATCTCAAGCCAGAGTGTTCCAAGGCTGCGCTGTCTGTCAAGGCAGCTGGGAAATGGACACTCTCCCAGGTAAAAGCGAAGATAAGAATTATAATATATAAGACGACGATGTTCGCGAGGGATTGTAGATATTTTTATTTACCTATAATATTTGTTTTTAACAAGACCGGTCATTCATGGCAGTAGGAGGCTGTGTTGGGAATTTGTGTGTTTAACCCTCACTTCCAATCTGTCCTTAATTATCCAATTTTCTTACTTACTATTGATCCCCATGCAGTATAATTTATACCCATGACGTTTGCATGCATTATAATAATCATTCTATTTCCGCATAAAATCCAACACCCCCCCCCTATTATAATATAAAAAGTATTAGAATATAAAAGTTGTGCCTCGTTCAGTGTTCACCGTCCCAATAAATGTTAACTTGATTGAATTCTAATTTTAACGCAACTGTTCGAAATATATGTTAAAATCTAAAGCACTAAGTTCTATACTGTCTTTCTTGTGCGACCAGATCTAATGATCTTGATCCCCTTACAAAAACTAACTATAGTTTCGACAAAATAACTATAGTTTTTTGCCTTAAAACTTTAGTTCTTCTGAACAACTATAGTTTCAGACGAAAACACTATAGTTATTCGTGACACTATAGTTTCCAAATACAGAAACTACAGTTTTTCGAAACTATAGTTTTGTTCCAAACTATACTTTAACTATAGTTGTTTTAAAAACTATAGTTTTCAACAAATAGTAGCCGCTGGAAACTATAGTTATAATTGAAACTAAATTTGAACTATAGTTTTTTTAAAGACCTATAGTTTACAACAAATGGTTACTAATAAAACTATAGTTATTCTAGAGAAACTATAGCTGCACTTTTTTATTTGCATAATCTGTAGTCAAGAAAAAGTGATTTGCGGATACATATATATATATATATATATATATATATATATATATATATATATATATATATATATATATATATATATATATATATATATATATTATATAGATTTCGATTACCAATATTTAGCATACATTAACATTTACATACCTTTGTACTCAACACATAAGCGTGTTTAACCTTTGACCATCTTCAAGACTCTCAGAATCTTTTATCTTTTAACAGTTTCAGTAATTAGTTCAAGGAAAACGGCAGATCGGAGGAAAATCACAAAAGAAATATGTTGGGATTAGTTGGGATATTTTGGGATATTTTGGGAAACTATTGCGTCGAGACGAGACGTGAATATCCGATTATTCCCTAGTATGGGCATGCTCGCATTTTAATTTGCCCACATGTGACCTGAGTATGACATGCCAACTCTCTTGGCGGCCATTTCGAATTTACCGACAACAGTGTTTTAAAGACCTCGGCAATTAAACGACTTAATGGCTTACGCTTTGGTTAATTTCTTCGAAGAGAATGCTTGGGATGTCATTCCATATTCCGATATTGTTTTTACTCAGGAACATAAACAAAATGAAATCGAGAACGGGACAAAAATGTTGGTTCTTTGGAAAGATACAAAATCCAAGAAAGCAACCAAAAGAAAATTCCCTGCCGAGATTGTAAAGATATCAGGTTTGAAATTAAGTTTATATATTCCTTGAGTCATTATTGTTCGCCTTTGGCGTTTTATGTCTTGAAATAAATATAATTTATTTAGGGTAAGATGGGTTTTATAGTTAATATATTCAAGTCCTAATCATATAAATGATCCCAAATGATTCAGATCAGGCTGTTTTGAAATATAATCATGTTTGAAGTATAATTCATATCATGGTGATTGAAGTCCTAATCATCTAAATGATCCCAAATAATTCAGAGCAGAGTGTGTGAAGTCTCAAGTAATTTAATATTTGTCTATATAACAGCATATATTACTTCCCACTTTTAGATACGACATATTCAGAAATCAGCACCAAGTCCATCCCTGCCATAATCTTTGTTCATATTTGTTATATTTTAAATAAACAATAGATGACAAAGACTGGTTACTCAAATACATGAGAGAAGATGATTCTCCGGTTAAAACAGGCAAAGGTTTCCGTGTTATAAATGATAGCGACAGTGACACAGAAAGACAGGTAAAAGTCTTAAAGTTACAGAGATAATTTTTCCATTCCAAATTTTCTCTAACAAGGTGTTTTTTGAGCACATATACAAAAATAATAGTAATGAGCAAGTTATGTGCATAGTTTATTTCCCCACATTTATTTCTGATCCTGTTTTTCTTCAGCAAGAACCAGCTGCAACGAAGAGGCAGAAAGCAGCATCTAAAAATGCTGAGCAATCAAAGCGATCAACCAATCTGGCTAACATGATAAAGGAAAGATACAGGAAGGTTTGTATAGTTACAGGTCAAAAGGAAGCCTCTGTCAGAAAGAGTAAAATCACCTTGTATATAAGACGATGTGAAAGCTAAATGTTAACATTATTTAAGCTTTTAGCATTGAAATAGCAGTAATATAAAAGCTTCCTTATACTACCTGAGATGGTAGATAGACACATGAGTTAGTAAGAACACATTACATTCTTGCAGTTGTTGATAATTAGGAAAGATGCCAATGGACGACTTGCGCTTTAGACTAATTTTTGATAGAAGTGACTAGAAGAAAATAAATCACCACCGCTGGAAAGATCTTACTTAAATTAGTGCAGATGCAAAGTTTGGCTGCAAAATTTTGTAAAATACGGAAAGTATAGCCATGCGAAGTTGGCATATTTTGTATACTTTTGTATTACGTGCGGAAATGTGTAACTAAATTAGTTACAAACTTCCAGCCATAATACAAAAGTATACAAAAATCGTCAACTTCGCATGGCTGTATTTTCCGTATTTTACAACAACTTCCAGCCAAACTTGGCAGTTTTACTAATTTTAGTAAGCTCTTTCAGAAAATGTCCTTTTTATCGTCAATGTAAGAAATTAGTCTAAAGCGCAAGTCGTCCATTGGTGCACAGGCAGCACACATATGTATTCATTGCTTATAATTTTAATATTTAGGAAAGTCTTAAATTATTTGATGACAACAGTGTATGTGATGAAGATTGCAAACATTTAAGAGAAAATAGAACGCTTCTGGCAACAATCAAACACCTAAAAAGTGAAAATGAAAGACTTCGGGAACAAATCGAAAGTAGTGATGGTAAGCTTGTTCAAAAAGATTTGTCCAACTTTTAATCAAAATGTGCCACAAGACGGGTGATCGGCGGACAATCCATGATCCTGGTGCATTAAGCTAGAACAAGCCATTTATTTTGCCTTTTCCTCACCATTCATTAGCCACTCACAAAAGGCAATGATTTTACTGTTATTCTGATTTCATGTTTCCTAGTCTTTGGCTAATGCATTTTAATTTTCTTATAGATTTAAAAGTTTCTTTGAGAAAACTGAAGAAGTATGTTGCATCCTTGGAAGGCTTTTCAAACCAAGCACCAAAATTTGGTTCACAACAGAGCGTACGAGCATACGAGCCTTCCGCAAGATTGTCTCCTTTGACAACCATGGATCATGGAAGATTCGTCTCTATCTCATGTGTGTCAAGCTCATCAACCAGATCTTCTCCCACATCGATGAGTGGTTTTTCAGAATTTGCTACAGAGGAACCAACCGTAATTGCAATTAGCGAAGACAACTTGTTGAAAGACAAAAGTAAGGAAATACAAGGCTGTGATGATGACAACTAGGTCCAGGAGTTAGAGAAGGACACATATGCTTCCTCAAAAATTTGTGGAAGTGACGAACAGTCTGGATTGGCTGATGTTATGGCAGATAAGGTAGGTCTTTCAAATGCACTGTAAATTGGAGAATTTTAAAATTTTACATTCTGATTTCAATACACGCAAAGTGGTTTAGGTAGAGTGTGTCTTGAAAATGGAATTATTAGTACCGTGGTTTAAAACATTTTGTTCATTGGATGACTTTACATTGTTTTTTTCACCTTTTTTACTAATTTATTGTATTGATTTATTTTCTACCAGGTTGTTCTGGGACCAGGCTTGTCGATTTCAAAGAATGTGCTTCAACGAATAAAGACGAAGAAAGTAGGATCATTTGTGGCAAACCTGATGGGAGCAACACTCACAAGAGAGTACATGGCGACACACAGTTACAAAGGGCAGAAAGGGAAGAATGGGCAAACAAAGCCAAAGCTTGATACAAACTACACAGCTTCCCTAATAAGTAAGTTTTTGGTTTTGAGTGTATACGTAATCTTTGTATTGCAAAGACGGACTATTTCTGTTTACCTAATCAGCATTTGAAGGAAAAACGCAGTGTTGGCATATTTACTGATTTAGTAATTTAGCCCTTCTTTATGTTTTGTGTAGAATACGCCAAGAGTGTAAGATACACCGAACTTCAGCGGCCTGTTATTGACGAGGACATTGTCAAAGCTATCAAGTTTAAACTGAACAATGAGGAACAGGCGTTCAAAAAGCAACAAGAATAACAGTATTATGGCACAGGAATTTTTTGAACATATACTAAGAAAGGGTATCATTGTAGGAAAGTTTTTAGCCCTTTAAATTAATAGTAAATGCCTAAATTTCAAAACAGTAGTTCTTTTTTTATATTCTGCATTTATTATATACTAATAATAAAATCCCCTGGTACTAAAGACCGAAGTAAAGTAAAACGTAATTCCTTTTTTCGTTAAAATATCGTTTGATTATTGGCAGCATGACTAGAACTGTGTTAGCTTCGTGAAATTAAAGCTGCTTTGTGCAGCAGTTATTATTTGGGTAAACGTCAAAATTATTTTTTTTAAAGAATACCTTTTGCTTCCATGTAAAAACTATAGTTTCGAACAAACCTATAGTTTTTAACCTATAGTTTTCACTAAAACAACTATAGTTTCAGACACTGAAGTTTTATTCCAAAATACTACAGTTATTAAAACTATAGTTTCGCCTTTAAAAACTATAGTTTATTTTTGTAAGGGTCTAATGACCTGTATCTTCAATTGGCTACTGGAACTTAGCTAGACTCCTTAATTGGTGCGGTCACGTTCTCTGTAGGCTTTTCTCTCACGCCGTCCATCTAGCTTCTAACTCACGAGGCAGTTTGGCATCCCAGGGGACCTTAGCGTCACAACACTCGTGGTAGAGGAACTTTCCTTGCAGAATAATGGGCGAAATCAACCCGAGAGGATCATAAACTTTCGCGATCCTTCCGAGGACTCCTCGCTTCGTCGGACTTGCTTGGTCAGCAGGAAACTAGATTTTGTATGGCTTGAGCATGTATGGCTTAGGCGGCCAAAGGAGTGGAAATTCTGTCCCAAACAGCTTGGACCTCACACTATTTTAGGAAGACTAGGCGTAAATTATAAGATTAGATCAGAAACAGGTCGAGAGTTCATGGTCCATCACGACAATCTAAAACCTTACTTTATGCCTACTGAGCAGGGAAAGTTTGCTTGTCCTGGTTTGTTTGTCTTGGTCAGGAATCGGGAGATTTTGATCGTAGTTTCTGTATCAACTTTTACCGTTTTCGGGACCAAAACTAATGTGAGAAGAAAGTGTGGCGCGCGATCAAAATGATTGCGTAAATAATGCATATGGCAATACATAATCTTGTAACTACAATTTGCTAGAGGAACATGATGATTAAGCGATTGTGATACGTAATTGACGGGATGTAATATAGAAAGAAATTGACATAAATAAATCAGACTGGGGATCGTAGCCGTGCTGTGACCGACAGTGACTGTGTCTTATAGGATCTTAGGTGTACGCTGCATGGAAACGAAGATGTTGTGACGAGCGGATGGTACCGTGTAAACGCAGCTTAAGAGAAGTAGAGTTATTTAATATTTTTTGCGTTATAATGGAGATTTGGAGTACAATTTCAGCTATGAAATAAGTGGAAAATGTTGAAACATTCTAATAAATCTGAATTACCATTTTCCTCAAATTTTAATTTGTGATCTGTGAAATCAGACTTGACTTCATTAAAAATACAAAACAATCGCACCGTAACCATTTGCTTCACCTGGGCCGCATATAACTAGCTTATGGTGAAATAACGCTGCACCTTTTCTCAATGGTCTCCATACCTGTGATATTATGCTGGGTGTCCCAAAAAAGTACCTTTTTTTAATTCAACATAACTTGTAAGGAAACTAAAGAATTGCAATCAAACAATCTATATTAAGTGGAGTAATGTCTAACTTAAAGTTTGATATATTACATATGAAGTTTGAACGAGTAGTGTCTGAGATATTTGCGTTTAAAGTCGTAGCAACGTTTTGAAACTTGTCAAAAATCAGGAAAAAATGGCCTATTAAACTTGTTTCAACAATACCGGTTCCTAACATGGTATCTTGTAACATATTTTTTAGTTGTTTTTCTAAAAATCGTTTTTTACTTGCTCTAATTCATCTGCAAATTCATGTCCACCAGCAGCAACGCACTTTCTTGCCCGTTTCAGCATGCTATCAAAAGACCTTTTAATCATGTGGTTGTCCAAATAGCGACATGACCTAACAATCGCCTCGCGAAGATCTCCCAAGTTTTGAGGTTGTTGGTCATGAGGAACTTCCCAAATCTGCTGTTTAAATAGCCCCAGAGGAAGAAATCACACACCGTCAGGATAGGGGAGCGTGGAGGCCATGGCCAATCGCCACGTTTACTCATGAGTCGACCAGGAAATTGCCCCTGTAGATATCGGATTGTTGCATTTAACAAGCCATTATTTGCTGATTTTTGACACATTTCAAAACGTTACTGTGTCTTTAAACGCGAATATCTCGGAAACTACTTGCTCAAACTTCATATCAAATATATCAAACTTTAAGTTAGACATTACTCAACTACACATGGACTATTTTATTGCAATTCTTTAGTTCGTTTTTAAGTTATGTTGAATTAAAAATAGGTACTTTTTTTGGGACACCCGGTAGCGTCAGCATAAATGAATCAATTAGGTTAAAGTTACGAATAAGATTCACGTTTGTGCGTTTTAGACAAAATAGAAAGCATCATCATCCAAGCAAACGTATTTAAACTTACGTAAAATCCTTCGAAAAAAGGTTGTTTAAAATAAAAAATTAGGTAAAAATAAAACAGTGTAGTGACACTCCTGAGGTTCTGCTGGTCTAGTGGTGAACGCAATGCTCTCCCATTTTTAAAACTTAGGATTCGAGTCCAGGAACGTTCGAATCTGGTTCGAATCTTACTATAACCGTTTTTTCATTATGAACTTCGTGAAAAAGATAAAGAAAATGAAATAATCCTAGCCGTTAAGCACATGATCTTGTAGTCTAGTGGTGAAGGCAGTGGTCTTCCAAATGGTAAATTGATGATTCGAATCTTACCACAACCGTTTTTTCATTATGAACAACGTGAAAAAGATAAAGCAAATTAGATAATCATAGCCCTTCAGCAAATGATCTTGTAGTCTAGTGCTAAAGGCAATGGTCTCCCAAGTGGTAAGTCGATGGTTCGAATCTTACCATAACCCTTTTTCATTATGTCCTTTGTCAAAAACGTTAAAATAAATCAACTATTCATAGCTACTCAGCACATGATGTCATAGTCTAGTGGTGAAGACAATGGTCTCCCAAAGTGGCAAATCGATGGTTCGAATCTTATCATGACCGTTTTATCATCATGAACTTCGTTAAAAGGTTAAAGTAAATCAAATATTAAATAGCTGTTCAGCACATGTTCTCGAAGTCTAGTGGTGAAGACAATGGTCTCCCAAATGGTAAATCGATGGTTCGAATCTTACCATACCCGTTTTTTCATTATGAACTTCGTGAAAAAGATAAAGTATATTAAATAATCATAGCTCTTCAGCACATGATCTTGTAGTCTAGTGGTGAAGGCAATGGTCTCCCAAGTGGTAAGTCAGTAGTTCGAATCTTACCATAACCCTTTTTCATTATGTCCTTTGTCAAAAGCGTTAAAGTAAATCAAATATTCATAGCCGCTCAGCACATGATCTCATAGTCAAGTGGTGAAGACAATGGTCTCCAAAGTGGTAAATCGATGGTTCGAATCTTACCATAACTGTTTTATCATCATGAACTTCGTGAAAAGGTTAAAGTAAATCAAATATTAAATAGCTGTTCAGCACATGTTCTCGAAGTCTAGTGGTGAAGACAATGGTCTCCCAAATGGTAAATCGATGGTTCGAATCTTACCATACCCGTTTTTTCATTATGAACTTCGTGAAAAAGATAAAGTATATTAAATAATCATAGCTCTTCAGCACATGATCTTGTAGTCTAGTGGTGAAGGCAATGGTCTCCCAAGTGGTAAGTCGGTGGTTCGAATCTTACCATAACCCTTTTTCATTATGTCCTTTGTCAAAAGCGTTAAAGTAAATCAAATGATCTTAGCCGTTCAGCACATGATCTCGTAATCCAGTGGTGAAGGCAATGGTCTCCCAAGTGGTAAATCGATGGTTCGAATCTTACCATAACTGTTTTATAATCATGAACTTCGTGAAAAGGTTAAACTAAATCAAATATTAAATAACTGTTCAGCACATGTTCTCGTAGTCTAGTGGTTACGACAATGGTCTCACAAATGGTAAATCGATGGTTCGAATCTTACCATAACCGTTTTTTCATTATGAACTTTGTGAAAAAGATAAAGTAAATTAAATAATCATAGCCTTCAGCACATGATCTTGTAGTAGTGGTGAAGGCAATGGTCTCCCAAATGGTAAGTCGATGGTT